ACATTCCTTTCTCTGTACATTTTTATCGTGCTAGAAATCACTGTTTTGCTATGTGGGAAGGCAGGAACTTGATTCACAAGAAAATTCCATCATTCAGACGGAATAGGTTCTTTTGTTACACATAAAGTGAGTTACAGTAGGGGAGATAAATTCCGCAGTCAAAAGACATACTATAAACGGAGGTGTGGGGGTAGCTCATTCGCACAGGTGATAGCTTTTGATTACGGTGCCTTTGATGCAATTCATAGCCCCTTAAATAACTGGAAATAAAAGAAACCCACGTGCAGATGGAGAGAGTGTTCCAGTTAGTCATTGTTGACAATACCGTTTGGTAACGGTATTGTTAGCGTTTTTTTTTCGTCCTACAAATCGATCATGACTGATGTAGATGCATCCAATGACCCATAGGTCAAGGGCACTGAATCATACAACCGTCACTTTTTACATTGTTGGAGAAGGCCAAACTATTTTGTCAGATTGATCCTCACGTTTAGTTACCGTTCCAGTGTTTTCCCATGCCGGTAGATATGGCAAGTGAATTCGAAATCGCTCAGTAGTTCGCTCGTGACAGAAAAAAACGATAAAATCGAAGACAACTCGGTCGAGTGTCCGTCCGATGTCATTTCCATTATCGAAGACGGCCGAACACAGACCGATGCGACGAGATGAATATCTGCTCGCGTGACACAGTAAAAACATTAATGTCAATACTTCAGAAGCCAACTAACTGAATAACGACGCCACGGCTAATCAGAACAAGTATTGATTCTGAAATATATTCGTCGCTTTCATTTTACAGGCTCGTTCACCGTTTAAGAGCCAGAAGCTATAATTTCAAGAACCGTGTCCCACAGAATGAGACCCTTGCGCTACTGTCCAACTATGATGCAGCGCTCTTGAACTATGACAGATAACTCTTGAATTGCAATGTTTGGATCCTAAACCAAGAAACAACTTACATGTACCATCGCAACTGCAAAGCTATACCATAGATAGGATCTTTATCTACTGTTCGGAGTCCACGTTCGAAAAAATGTGTGCAACGGAGAAGTCAGTTGAGTAAAAGTAGAATCCTGAGGCCCAGACTGAACAGTAAATATGAGCGTTTGGATTCGGTAATGATCTGATCGCAATACTGAATGGCACAGGCTATGCGCCTTGCATGACGCTAATGATTTTGCGGAAGACTGGAAAGACTCATCTACTTGTATCATAATCCCATAAACTATTTCCAATTACACCACAACATACCCATGAATCCAGATCGTTCCCCGACAGACAGAAACTTCAAAAACTAAACACGTCAAATTAAGTTGCCGATAAAAAATCCGGAAAGCTTAAGTCAAATCTTGTTTGCGAGTAGGCAAATACGCCTTCACTAGTCGGTATGTGAAATGACTTCTCTAGCAGGCTTCCTCTATCAATCGAATGAGGTTTAATGAATAGCCGCGGAGCGAAGTTGATAAGAACTTCAAATGTAACAAGCCCGTGATATATATATATATATATATATATATATATATATATATGCATGTTGTACAAGAAACCTGGTTGAATCAAAACATTGAGGACGTGATTGTGCGAATAGAAGGCTTTGATTGTTACCGGTAGGATAGACAGCGAAGTAAGAAGAGAACCGGAAGCGGTGTAGCAACCTACATCAATGTTTGCTGGTTCGGAGAGTCAGAAGTGATATATAACTATTCTGAAAAATGCATGGACTGTTTGACTGTTCGCTGTCATCCCATCCTAACTAATGTGAAAATGTCTCCCTCGTGTTCTGAGACGGAAAATTCTGCCTTCTTTGATTTCTATATTCCGTTTCTAGTTTCATTATTACATAAAAATCTTCACTTACTTGTTGGTGATTTCAATCAGGCAAGCATTTCTCCCCTGCTTCCGTTTGGTCTGTTTTACCTTCCTCATTTTCCTACCAGAGGTAGTCTTGTGCTGGACAGAGTGATCACAAACCATCCGAACTTATTCTCTCTCAAACTAATGATCCGTTTTCTACAAGTGACCATAGTATTCTTCTTGTTAGACCAAAGGTATACTCTCGCACTGCTTATCAACCATTCATACGTTCTACTCAGATACCATTTCATCTAAGAAACTTTTCACCCAACCGCATCTCTCTTCTCAACTGTTCTGTTGTGAATGTTCGGTCTTAGTTTGATTCTTGTCCTTCGCTTTTTAAATGTGTCAGTCTGTTCGCTGAAACCATTAAATCGATCTTCAACTTGTGTGGTCCAATGAAAAACCTGTTTGTCTGTAACGGCAGAATTAACTCACCCTTTTTAAAATCACTGAGAAGGCACAAAGAAAGGGCATACAAATCTCGCCATGCATCAGTCGTAAAGCACTACTCTGAGTTAATCAGGTCAGAGATAACGTATCTAAATGCAATCTTCGCCGCTCAAATTCTG